TTTTCTTCGTTCCATCGAATTTTCCATCTCCACCACTTTTTGTATTTTGCAATTTTTTTTCCCTGAACTCTTGAATCAGCTGAATATTTTTAAATAATAATAATAATAATAAAATTGATGTATGAAGCCGACGACATTTATTAAATGTTGCACAAACAATAGAATAGAAAAAGTGCAAGTGGTTTTTTTTACCCTCATTGTTATAGAGAATTGGTATTCCCAATATGATCATTTAAAAGCGAGTAAGATAATAATAACAAACCGAATTGCAAGAATTTTTTAATTAAATTAATAAATATTTTTAATGATTTTTTTTTCCATTTATTAGTAATGATGACACAATTAATAATAATTTTAAGTTTAATAAATTAAAAAAATTTTATGTTTATAATTTTAATATTTATTTAATATGAATACAAATGTATTAAAAAATAAAATATTTATAAAATATACAGTTAAAAAAGTAAATACATACATTAAATCTCTTGGTAACAATAAATAATTTATGTTCTGTATAATGTGAAAAATTTCGATTAATTAATTAATAAAATAAAATAAAACAAAACAAAACAGGATGGAATAGAATAAAAGAAAATACCGACCTTTACTTTTATTGATTTTGTTTTTATTTTATCTTTTATTATATGTCTTTTATCAACCAATATTCCATCATTATCAAATTCTTCGCTATCGTCGTCATTATCACCACCAACTTCTGCTTCTTCCGCGCAATAATCCTCTGATGATTCTAAATCCTCAGAATTATTAGATTTCTTGTGATCATCATCAACAACATTATTGTCATGATCACTGAATTCATCGTTTGTCCATTCAGAATCTTTGATTGGTTCAGATTTTTGTTTGAAATGTTTAATATTATTCCCACCAACAATTCCAATATCGGCAATATCAGTAATGCCAATTCCAAGATTGCTAATATTCACACCATCACTATTATTGTTACTACTACCATTATTATTATTATTACAATTAGTAGCAATGTTAGTGGGTGATTGATTGAGTTGTTTTAATAAATTTTCTTTTTCAATTTGTAAGTTATTAATTGCTATTTCAAATTCTTCCAGCCTTTTCTCCGATTCTGATAATTTAGAATCTTTTTGACTAATTAAATCCTTCAACGCTGATTTTTCTTTTTCTAAAATTTTCGTCTCATCTTTTTTTGATTTAATAATTTTCTCTAATTTATCAATAACTTTTAAACCAACATCATTATAAGTTATTGATGAATTATCAATGTCATTATTATTACAATTGTTTTTATTATTTGAATCAAAAAATTCCATTGTTACGTTACGTATTCTTTTTATGGTTATATCAAAGTTTTCTTTCATCTGATTATAATCTCTGGTAGTCAAATCAAGTTTATTTGATAAATCAACAAATTCTTTTTCTTTGTTCAGTAATAATTGCTGATAATTGTAATTATTATTATTATTACCACCATTCTTTTGTTCTTCTTGCAATTGTTTTTTAGTAGCTGTATTATATTTTTCTGATTCATTTGTCTTTATCATTATTTTCTTTGCATAATGATTATTTTCATATTCCCTTTCATTACTATTAATTATTTCCATCAGATCGTTACAATTTTCTTTTAATACATTATGTTCTTTCAATATTTCATCCATTTGTTTAGTATAACTCAAAATTATTAGTCGCTTTTCTTCTTCATGTCCTTGAATAGTTTTGGTGAAAAGCTCATGTAAATCTTGATATGATTTTTGTATTATTTTATATTGGTTTTGTTGATCTTGTTGGCTTAGAATAACCGCTGATGAATTAAACTATCAAAAAAAAAAGCAAAAAGCAAAAAAATAATACATTAATGATAATAATAATAATAATATTATTATTATTATTATTAAACATAATTACTTCAAAGAGTTTTACCTTATTAATAATATTATTACTACTAGATATGTTAATTTTATTCGCACTATAATCTTCAAGTTTGTGATTAACGTCATTCAACATATTATTTAAATGAGTTAGGTTGTGTGAATCCTGCCTCGCAAAATTCAATTCTCTCTAATGATCAATTAAATTGTTTGAAAATTTAATTAAAAAACAACATTTATCGGTTTAGAAATATATAATCTTTATATATTGATTTTTAGTTACCTCCACTATATCAAAAATTGATAAATCATTGCTAATACTTTTTGATAATGATTTAGGCATGCTGTTGCGTTTCTTTTTTTTAAAAAAAAAAAAATAATAATATAATTAAAATGATTAATAATTGATAACTTGATTATATCATATCAAAACAATAATTAAAAAAAAAATTAAAAAAAATTACCTCTCCG